AAAAAAAAAGAAGCAAAATGCCATCTCATCCTTAGGCACATAATTGACCACAATCTCAATAAATCAAATATAAAGAAATAATTCAAGTACTACTTCTTGGCCACCCAGAGGGAACATGACTACGTCTTGCCTTTCAACTAGAGGACACATTTTAGAATTCATTAAAGAAAAAAAACCAGATTTAAAATTCAAAAAGAATTCAGAGGCTTCCTTACCTGGTAACTTTATAAAATACATTAAGTTAAATTATAAATTATTTTCAAATTAGAGTATTAATATAATTGCTAGATGTGAAAAATTACCAAGTGACTATCAAGTAAAAAGTATGAAGTGATCAATGTCTAACTGCAAAATAGCCCACTCCCAAGTCTTAGATTCAGTGAGAGTATGACAATTCTTTCATTACTACCATACTCTGACTCATAAATGATAAGGCTAAAGAGCTCAAGGTATTTTTCATGAATTCCAATAGCCCGAAGAGGACCGGTTCTTTATTTCCCTTTTAATAACGGCTTTGCCTTAGAGGCTTCCTTACCTGGTTGAGTTTGATATATTCCTGTTCATAAATTTCAGCAAGACTCAATTTACTTTTCTCATGGTCTAATGTTAATTGCTTTTTATATTCATATGCATCTTCTTTGGGTTTTTCTTTACGTACTACATCATCCCAAGCCTGAAATACAAAGGGAATGCAGAACATTAACTTCTAAAATCTATTTAACTCCAGACTGCTCTATCAATTTTCTCCTACATTACAATCATTCTAGAGCCTAGGTTCCCTTTCCAGAAAAAATTACTCAATTCCCACTGACAACCTATAGATTTTGTACTATAGCCCATAATATAAGATAAAGTGTAGGTGTCTACTTTTGCAATCTCTCTGGATAGTTCCAGCACCCCAGGGGGTGGTATCGCTCCACTTTGGGAGACATACTGCTCTAGAGTAAACAGATGGTATAAAGAAAGTAATTTTTAACTTTTGAAACTACATTAGTCACAAAATATAATGCATTATGAAAAACAAAGAACATGTTTTTAGAAAGTTTTTCATTTTCACTGTTTATCACCTTTCATTAGACATTTCTCCACCATGGTTTATTTAAAAATCAAGCCTTGAGTTTGTCTTGTTTTATTTGAAATTTCAAAATATCCTATATACAGGATATTTTCATTCTTCAAACATCTTCTATTTCAAACAAGAGAAGCATGTCAATCACATGTTGTCTCTTATTGTACATATCATATACATAAGGTTTATTCTGTTTATGAAAATAAGATCAAATTTTGAACAAAAAAATTACATTAGTGTTTTAACAGCTGGAAAAATGCACACTTCACCTGCCAGACCAGGTACTGTGCCTAGATCAAGGGTGTCAATGTCAGGCCAATTGTCAGCCACCACAGCTGCACCAAAGTCAATCAGATACGGGAGAAGCCCACTCTGCCACACTGGTGAAGAGCAGAGCCTCACCTCCAGTAGGAAATGCCCTTAGCCTGGACTTTAGGCTTTTAAGTAAGTGAAACAAACAAAATGATGAAAACGAAGTTTTAAATTCCTAATATCATCTCATATTTTTTCCAAAACATTCATACATCTTAAATTATGTTAAATGTAATTATTTCAGACCTGATCTCTTATCCTCTGCTTAATAATATCTTCTAGTTGAAGGGTGGTTTC